GGGGGGGAGGGGTCGGCGGTTCCCGGGCCTGCCCCGGCGGCCGCGAGGAGAGCCGGCGAGGCTGGGGCCGCAGGGCGCGCCTGCAGGAGGCGGCCCGTGGAGGCGGCGGGGGGCGGGGCCGGGCGGCGGGGGGCGGGGCGGGGCCGGGGCGGGGCCTGGGCCGGGGCGGGGCCTGGGGCGGGGCGGGGCGGGGCCTGGGGCGGGGCGGGCGGCCGGCCGTGCCCCCACCTGCCCGCCCCGTGCCAGCCCCCCCCCTCCCCCCCCCCCCGTGGGCTGATGAGTTACTTCCGATCCGGAAGAGAGGCAGAGAGAGAAACCAACACACCTCGCTGATTTTAACACCTATTAGGTGGGCCCTGGAGTCCACTGCGGGGCACATGCCCACTTTTGTCTTACTAGGCCGCAACCGCAGCTCTCTGAACAAATTCGTTCTGGCCATCTCACGGAGAAGGGAGTAAAGACATTCCAATTAATTTCATTCTGTTGCTCACCCCTTTCACTATAGCTCGCTTGGCTTTGGGCAAAGTCAGCCTCCAGTCTGGAATGGAAGCCCATAAAGGTGGGGAATTCTGTGGGCCGTTCTTGCTGATGCATCTCGCAAGTTTAGTACAGGGCCTGGCACACAGTAGGTGCGCAGTAACGTTCTCACTACCGCGTTCTCCTACTCCCGTGTCGCCGAGGAAACGCGCGAGGCCAGCGAAGATGGTGTGCATGGGACCTGGCCGGTGCCCACTTGAGCCATGGCCTCCTTCACGGGGCCCTTTAGAACCCCAGAGTGCTAAGATCCAGTTTTTCCCTGTATCCCAATGGTAGAAACCATATTTTTGGGTGACAGCTTCCTACATTTAGGACCTGGGAAGAAGGCATTTTTCAGGAAATACTGAAAAAATTTCACATTTTCTTTGGCATTCCTTTTAAAACTCAAATATTAGAAAAGAAAATATGAAAGTGTTATACAACAAAGTGTTAGCTGGCTATCTCTGGGTGATTGGCCAATAGATTTTTTTTTTTTACTTTTATCTTTATAAATTCGTATTTTGTCTGAACAATTACAATTGACACTTATTTCTTTTATAATCAACACACGAAATACCCATTTTTGGAAACATAAAAAGAACACAGTGATTAAAAAAAATTGTAAAGGCTAAGTTATGCTGATTATCCTATGGCTCTTTGTATTTTTTTTTTTCCCCTTAGCCCCTAGCCAATGCCTGGCACACAACTGACATTCAATAAATACCAGTTGAATGAATGACTATTTCTACAATTTGTCTCAGAGGAAAGACATGTTCATGTAACTAGCTTATCTTTCTTCATTTTTTAAAAGCAATCTATATTTTTAAAGATTTTATTTATTTTTTTAGACAGAAAGTGAGCATGAGTTGGGGGAGAAATGCAGGGAGAGGGAGAGAGAGAGAATCTTAAGCAGGCTTCATGCCCAGCACAGAGCAATGGGGGGCTCTACTACACTGAGATCACAACTTGAGGCAAAATCAAGAGTTGGTAGCTTAACCCGCTGAGCCACCCAGGCACTTATCTTTCAAGAAATCTGCACTATGATTTTAGTATAAGAACAATCTGAAGATTTCAGAATAAAAACTTGTCTGCAATTACAGAATTGTCCTTTCCTTTGCCTGTCTTCAGTGTATGCTATAATGTATTTGTGAATTCAAATTGGCTGCCCCTAGCCCTGACAGCAGCCTGAGACCTGAACATTCTGAGTACCTTTGGAGTCTATTTACATATTCATTCTGTAGCAAGCAGCTTCATCCAAAATATCCCTATGCTGACTGCCACTTAATTTGTACAAAATTTACTTTCTCAGTTTAGTGGCCTTTACAGTCTTCAGCCCAACAATAAAAAGTTTTAGGTTTCTGTTTCTTTCATTTCTTTTTGACTTCCTCTTTTGAATATGGGAAATTGTGGGGACCCAGGTGCTTCCGTGAACTTTTTAGCACAGATAACTGAGCAGAGAGTGCGGGCCCCCAGAGATTTCTCATGGTATTGGAAGGAAGTTTGTCTATTTTTTTTTAATAAATTAATTTTTATTGGTGTTCAATTTACCAACATACAGAATAACACCCAGTGCTCATCCCATCAAGTGTCCCCCACAGTGCCTGTCACCCATTCACCCCCACCCCCCACCCTCCTCCCCTTCCACCCCCCCTAGTTCGTTTCCCAGAGTTAGGAGTCTTCATGTTCTGAAGTTTGTCTCTAAATGAAGGTGACCTGCAGCAGTGGGGAAGGCCCAGCCCAGGAGAGCAGCGCCAGAGGGAACCAGCATTAGGCTTTCATCTGACCGATATATCTTATTTTAAAAAGGGTTTTGTAAGCTCTCACATGAGATTTCTTACTCAAGGCCTTACCTCCTTGGTCTTACAAAACTGAGAGGTGAAAGCAAATAAGCTCATGTGCGCTTCTCTGTGGTTTAAATATTTCAAAATTCTAGAGAACTTGAAGTTGCAACAAAATCTAAAATGGTAACAAATGCACAATGTCCAGGCAACTACAAATCTCTTTGCTTCAGCCACTAAGTATCCAAAAGTTTTTAACCTAGGTATTTGAGGTAGAAGAGCAACAGTGTGTGTGGGTGGGGGGGGGCGCTGAGGGGTGGGGAGTGGGTGGTGATAACAGAAGACAACTTCCAGGCTCGGGTGGCTCAGTTGGTTAAGCAGCTGCCTTCAGCTCAGATCAAGATCCCAGGGTCCTGGGATAGAGCCCTGCCTGGGCTTCCTGCTCAGCAGGGAGCCTGCTTCTCCCTCTGCCCCTCCCTCTACATGTGCTCTCTCTTGCTCTTTCTCTCAAATAAATAAATAAATAAAATCTTAAAAAACAAAAACAAAAAACCCGACAGAAGACAACTTTCTTGAAATCTCTCTAGTGCCAGTAAAGATGCTAAGAATTTCTGAGACCTTGTCTACAAGCCTGCTTCCCAACTTCAGTGGTCCTCAATGCTTATTTCGCATAAAAGTCATTTGGAGAACCTGTTTACAAGGTTTACAATATTCCAATAAATAATGTTTACAATATTAATGCCCAAATAATCCTGGGCATTATTCTCCAAATTTGTTATTTAGGTGGCCAGGGCTTGGATGCAGGAATCTGTACTGAGGACCCTCGAGCACACTCACGGCTGCTGCTCCTAACCCAGAAGGTGCTATTGTGTAAAGGAGAGAAAGGTCACCCTTTTGTGTAGACACAGCTTAGTGAGAATTAGAAAAATAGTACCCTTTTCTCCAGGCAGATACAGCCTATGCCAGGGCCTCCTGCTTGCATGAGGAACACAGGCTGAACTAGTCCCACTCTCTCCTTTCTGTCTGCCAATTGCAGAACCCTGGCATCCCGGGAGACTCCTGTGCCAGTGGCTTTGCAGAGCACACTTTGTAGCCCATGGTCCTGGGCTTTTTCTTTCTTTCTTTCTTTTCTTTTCTTTTTTTTTTTTAAAGATTTTATTATTTATTTATTTATTTATTTATTTATTCATTCATTCATTCATTCATTCATTCATGAGGGACACAGAGAGGCAGAGGGAGAAGCAGGCTCCCTCCAGGGAGCCTGATGTGGGGCTCGATCCCAGGACCCCAGGATCATGACCTGAGCCAAAGGCAGACAGACGCTCAACCACTGAGCCATCCAGGTGCCCCGGCCCTTGGCTTTTTCATTTCTTTTCTGTTACAAATAACTACAAATCCAATCTAATTCAGCAAATATTTCTCGGGCACCCAATGTATGTAAAAGCATTGTGTTAGATTTGGTAGGGACTAGGGAGTAGTCTGTAGTTCCCTTTCCATGGTCAGCGGCTCTGCCTGTCTCTAAGTGACCACATAGCTGTTTTATTTTCTGTCATCTTTGATCCCCACAGGAGCAGAAAGTGATGGAAGATTCCAGGCAAAAGAAAAAAAATGGAGACAGGAGGAACTGAAATGGGAATCTTGGCACAAGTTTTGAAGAGAGACTACAACTCCTTTCTTTAGAAGTTTCCTTTCATGGAGTGGCCTCAATGCTAGGAATCCTTGCAGTATTTGGCTCATTTTAAGCATCCTAATTTGATCTATTTATTATAGATCTTTGTTATAACTAACCTTATACCTGTCTCCCCTGCCTTGGAACATGTCACTCTTGAGAAGAACAGCCCATAATCATATTAATATTAACTGCTAATATTGATGTATTACTATATTATATTAATATTAATAAATCCAGGTACTAATGCATTGCTGAGATCTTCCTCTTCTTTCTAGTGTTTGCTGATGCTAAATTTTGATTTTTTTTTTTACTTTTTTTTTTAAGATTGTATTTTTAAGTACTCTCTATACCTAACGTGGGGCTGGAACTCACAACCCCGAGACAAGAGTCGCATGCTCTGCAGACTGAGCCGATTTTTTCACCTTGATTGAAATATTTTCATTTCATGATCTCTCATCTCTTAAGCTATCAAATGTAATGATAAGTGAGAAGGGTAATGTCTCTATGTATATAAATGAAGGACCAGAATCTAATTTTGAAGCATTCTAGTCTGTTTTCTTACTTTCATACTAAAAATTCAAAGATTCTCATGATTCATTAGCTAAATTCAAAAATCCCATTTTCTATTTCTAATATTTTACATGGATAGATCAAGTAAAATATTTTCAAAGCACAATTAGACCAGCACAAGCAAATATGCGTATGTATTAACATAAGGAATGAAATTAATGATCAAGTTAGGAAACACAATCCTGGATAGGTGTTTCTTGTTGGACACAGTAGGCTATCCTACACTACTTTGAAAAGCATGGCATTTAACACATGCTTGGCACATACTTGTTAAATATGACCAAACTTAAAGCAATTAGATAAGAAACCATTTCAGCTAAACCTCAAAATATAGCATGTTAGAAATAAAAATCAGGAAATCAAATACTTAAAAAAAAAAAAAAAACCCAACCAAACAAACCCTTTTCTTCCCTACCAGTGCTAAGATAAGCTATTAAAGAATTGGTTAATTTCAAAGTACTTACAGTTAAGAAATAGATTCCGAACAGGAAGTGTTTTGTGGCTTGGAAGAAAATCTCACTAGAAGAGAGATATGTGAAAACAGAGAAGTAAGTGTGTTTCTATTGCAGACGTAGTAGTACAAAGAACAAATTCAGAGGTTTTTATTGGCCAATATAATTCTGGCAGCAAAGTGTGTTCCTGTTATCTTCAACGACGTGGATGGAGCTAGAGGGTATTATGCTAAGCAAAATAAGTCAGTCAGAGAAAGACAAATACCATATGATTTCACTCATCTGTAGAAGTTAAGAAACAAAACAGATGAACATAGGGGAAGGGAAGGAAAAATAAAATAAGATGAAAATAGAGAGGGAGACAAACCTTCAGAGACTCTTAACTCTAGGAAACAAACTAAGGGTTGCTGGGGGTGTGGGGGGGAACGGTGGAACTGGGAGATGGATATTAAGGAGGGCATGTGATGTAATGAGCGCTGGGTGTTATATGCAACTGATGAATCACTTGACTTCTACCCCTGAAACTAATAATATGGTATATGTTAACTAGATTGAATTTAAATAAAAAATTAAAAAAAAAGAAAATGAAAATATTTCTTGCTAAAAAAAGGTGTGTTCCTTCTCCTATGTTAAGTACAATCATACTTTTTTTTAGGGGGGAAAGGATTTGATTGATTATATAATTTGATAGGTTTTACGTGCGTGGTAGAGCTTACCAATTTTCAAAACTTCCTTTCTCCTTTTAACACAGTAAATAGCTTGGATTTAGCGTGTATTTATTGCCATCTTTATATTGGGATGTTTGCACGTAGTATTTGGGAGCAAACAGGCTATCTGGAATTCCATACATAATCAGACATGTCTCTGTTTCTCTCTTATTTTTTATGCTTCTTTGGACATCTTTCTTTGTTTTCTGTAGCATTGATTAAATGCTATGTGTTAGGCACTGTTTTAAATGCTTTGAGGCTATTAACTTATTGAATCCTCCCCATAATTCTGTGTAGTAGGAATGACTATTACCTCCATTTGACTGACAAGGAAATGGAGTCATAGCAACACTAAGTGGCTAGTAGGTGGCAGCTGGGAATCGTCGGAAATGGACTCTGAACTATATACTCTGCTGTCTGGTCTGCACCACATACTCACTCACACTCTCACCGTAGTCTAACATCAGCCTTGCTCTTGTGGGAAATACTTGCCATTTCAAACAACCCCAGAGTGGGTGAGAAGTTAGGCTTAAATTATGAATCGGAAATCAAAAGACTAGGAACAAGTATTTCCGAAGGAAGAAATACAAATGTAAAAAATGGCATGGAAAACTTAGACTGGATGTACTAAAAAGAGCCGTAGTTTATAGCTGAGCTGACATGGTATAAAATCCTAGTTGTGTAATTTGTTGGCTATGTGGCCTCTGAAAGTCTGCTAAAAAAACATGAGCTTTGGTTTCCTTACCTCTAAAATTAGAGAAATGAGGCTTACCTACCAGCCATTAAGGAATCATTGACAGCATGTGGGCCATTTTAATGTTTCATATATGTAAGATGATACCATTGAGAGATGCTTGAGATACCAAGTATAGTCTGACCCTGGGATTTTTTTTATCCCCACAGAGATGACATGCAGTTTTGACAAAGTTTTGCAAAATGGGTAGACTTGTTGATTTTGGTGGAATTATAAATTGGTACTCTCTTTTTTGGAAAGCAGTATTGGCAGAATAAAGAAAAAAAATCCCTTGGCCCTGCGATTTCCCTGGGAGGGAGTGTCTTCTTAAATTTTGCATCGGTAGGCACTTTGTTTGCCTCAGCCTGGTCCCAGCTCTGAATGAATACATGAAGAAAAGGGTCAAATCATGTCAGGTCTGTGTTGTGAAAAAGGAGTGGGGAGTAAGGGTTTAACCACCCATCCAGTCTCTGAGGTGTGCTGGAGGGAGCTGGAGAAGAATACAAGATGATATGTTGCAGACAGGAAATATGGGCAGAAAACAATGTAATAGGAAATAACTGTTAGTGAGGTTCATGGACGGCTGGGAAAGTAAATTAATTCTGTGGGAAGTAAACCTTGAAGGATTTAAATTGGTGCTAAAGTAGAGGTGGAATATAATGAGCCAAGCTGAAGAGATAGAAACCATCAGGAGTCAAGTGACTACTTTTCAGACCCAGCGCTTTGACTTAATGAGGATAATGGGATGCTTTTGAAATGGGGTCCATGCCAGAAAAACTGTTCACTTTACATGTCCTTTGAATGCTAATAGGCATCTCAAGCTTAACATGTCTTCATTGAAACTTTGGATTCTCATCCTTGAAAGATGCTATAATCTCTATCTCTCAGGAAATGAACAGGGTTTTAGAGGCTCTGTACCAGGAACTGGAGACAAAGACCCAGTATATATTTTTGATTATGTCACAGTGCTCCAGCCTGGGAAGAACATGGACATGGGATGGCCACCTTGCTGAGCTCTATTTGTGGTTCATAGACAGTGATGGAGAGAAGGTTTCATAAGGCTTTGCTTGGCTTTCACGAATTGTTAAAATCCTTGTATTTAAACCTACAATTAAGTTGAGACAATCATTTGGACCCATTATCCAGCTTCAATAATAATCAACTCATTACCAACGTTGTTTTATTTATATCCACATCCAATAAAGGCTTCTTTCTCCCCCGGATAATTTGGAAGCAAATTCCAGGCACCATATCATTTCATCAGTATTTTAATATGTATCTCTAAAAAATTAGATCAATAAATATTTTAGTATCATCTCTACAAGAAACTCTTTAAAAAATCATAAATCCAAAAGCTATAGCTAACCCCTGAATTTCTTAATACATCAAATATTCATTTTTTTAAAGATTTTATTTATTTATTCATGAGAGACACACAGAGAGAGGCAGAGACATAGGCAGAAGGAGAAGCAGGCCCCATGCAGGGAGCCTGATGTGAGACTCGATCCCGGGACTCCAGGATCATGCTCTGGGCCAGAGGCAGGCACTAAACCGCTGAGCCACCCAGGGATCCCTTCATCAAATATTCAATCAATGTTCATATTTTTCTGATTTTTTCATAAACTTGCTTTAAAAAAAAAAAGCTTTTATTTATTTATTAGAGACAGAACACAAGCAGGAAGAATGGGAGAGGGAGAAATAGGTTCCCTGCTGAGCAGGGAGCCCAATTCAGGGTCTGATCCCAAGACATGAGCCTAAGGCAGATGCTAACCAATTGAGCCACCTAGGCGCCTCGTAAATTTGCTTTTTTTTTAAGTTAGCTTGCATCAAGATCCAAATAAGGTTTATACATTACTACTGGTTGATATATCTCTTAAGTCATTTTAAATCTGTAGGTGTCTGCACCCCGATGTTTATAGCAGCAATGTCCACAATAGCCAAACTGTGGAAGGAGCCTTGGGGTCCATCGACAGATGAATGGATAAAGAAGCTGTGGTCTATGTATACAATGGCATATTACTCAGCCGTTAGAAACGACAAATACCCACCTGGAGGATATTATGCTGAGTGAAATAAGTCAATCAGAGAAGGACGAACATTATATGGTCTCATTCATTTGAAGAATATAAAAAATAGTGAAAGAGAATAAAGGGGAAAGGAGAAAAAATGAGTGGGAAATATCAGAAAGGGAGACAACATGAGAGACTCCTAACTCTGGGGGAAACGAACAAGGGGTGGTAGAAAGGGAGGTGGCTAAAAAAAAAAAAAAAAAAGAAAGGGAGGTGGGCGGGGGTGGGGGGGTGACTGGATGATGGGCGCTGAGGGGGGCACTTGATGGGATGAGCACTGGGTGTTATGCTATATGTTGGCAAATTGAACTCCAATAAAAAAATTTAAAAAAGAAAAAAATATATAATGTTTGTAAAGAGTCAAGTGCTCAATAACTATTATTTAGAAATGATTTTGAGTTAGTTTTCATAAAATCCACTAAAAACAAGAGTATTCTTTTTAAAAAAATTAAAATTCAACAGAAAAAAAATCTGTAGGTGTCCTCTCCCTCTCTCTATTCCCTACTCCCTTCACCCTGCTCCCCACATGTGTTTTTGTAGGAAATACACCTACTTGTTTGTCTGGAGTGTTTCCTACAGTCTAGATTTGGTAGATTATATACCCATGATGTCATTTAATATATTCCTCTGTTCCATGTATTTCCTGTAAAGTGGTTGTAGATCTAGAAGCTTCATCAGATTCAGGTAAAAATTTTTTGGCTAGAACAATTCATAGTATTGCTGTATACTTCCATAAAAAAAGCACATAACGTTTAGTTGTTTTTCTTTCTCTGATGTTGGTTGATGATCATTGCGTAGGTCCATTCTTTCATTAAGGGGGCAAAACAATGATATTTTAATTTTGTCATTCTGAGTCATTCTCTCCAGACTGCCTCAGAGACTTTCTACTATACGGATCACAAATAAGTAGGGTCCAGCTGCTGCACTTTGAAATCCAATGCTGCCTTGGAACTGAGGACACGCCTCCCATCAGCAGCTCCTCCAGTGACTGAGTGCAGTGGAGACATTAGGGAAGACATGGACTCCTTTGTCAGCTGACTTTGGCCAACCTTCCTTAGATTGCATAGCCCTTTTTAACACTTTCCACCAGCTTTCTTTCCCTCTCTTTTACTCCCACTGTGATTTGCATCACAGTCCTACAGACATCCCAGCCTTTTCTTGCTCTCTATTTCCTTTCACACAAAAATTTTCTTGAAGAAAATCCCTTGCAATTCTTATCCAGTTTTGGTGTCTGCTTCTCAGAGAACAAGGACTGACACACATTCCTTCTTTATTTATTAGCTGGAATGCTTCTAAAATGAGAAAATTCCCCTCATCAACTATTTGTTTACCTTAAGGTATAATTCCTATACAAGGACAAATAAATTGTTCCCTTTATTTACTAGTTTTCAAAATGATAACCTGCTCCCCAGAATTTTTACAAGTATCCAATGAGTTTAAAAAGTGTGTCATTATGAACCAATAAACATATTTGGTATGTTTCAATCCATTGAAGATATTATTCTTTTATTTAAAGATTTTAAAGTAATCTCTACACCTGATGTGGGGCTTGAACTCAC